CAGCCTCCCGAAGTGCTGGGATTACAGGTGTGAGCCACCACGCCTGGCTGGGACCCTATCTTGATTGTCTTTGTAGCTTCAGTGTTTGGTGCAGTGCCTCCCACTGTTTCTTTTCACCTTTGAGATCTTCCCTCTTTGTTACTGTGATCTTCCCTACTGGTCTTTGTTCTTCTGAGTCTGTCCCTATCCCCGCCCCAGCCTAAGCTGGATGTGGGCTGTCCTACTTGTGTTTCTCTCACAGACTGTGTACGGTGCCCTGGGCCTGAGGGATGCCTGCCGCTCCCTGCCGCAGTCCATCCAGCTCTTTCGGGACATTGCCCAAGAGTTCTCTGATGACCTGCATCATATTGCCAGCCTCATTGGGAAAGTAGTGAGTGTGCACCCAGGGAGGTCAGGGAGAGAGAATGCAGTGTGCGAGATGGGGAAGCATGGAAGATATTGAGGTCAATTGGATAAAGAATGGGATGGTGACAGGAGCCGGCAGAACTTCAGGGAAGTATCTGGAGGATGAGAGTTAAAGCAGGACTGCAGGGAGAATTGGGGCCCAAGGAGAGCTGAGGAACAGGACAGAGAGAGGGTGCCGGGTGCTAAGAAACAGTACTTATCTCCTCAGGTGGACTTTGAGGGCAGCCTTGCTGAAAATCGCTTCACAGTCCTCCCCAACATAGATCCTGAAATTGATGAGAGTGAGTGTTGGGTGCGGATGGGCCTGTGAGCCCTGCGCAGTGATGGAGTACCATCCTTGGCAGGTGGTTCCCACAGCTGGGGATCTTCATAGCAACCAGGGCAAGAGCCTCACTTTTGATAACCACATGTCTTCCACCCTCGTAGAAAAGCGAAGACTGATGGGACTTCCCAGTTTCCTTACTGAGGTTGCCCGCAAGGAGCTGGAGAATCTGGACTCACGTATTCCTTCATGCAGTGTCATCTACATCCCTCTGGTGAGGGCAAGAGAGTGGGTGTAGCCTTCAGAGGTCTTTTGGGGGAGATATTAGGCTTATGAAAGACATACTGGTAGATAAGAAAACTTGTGGGGCAGCCTGAAGAACATGAACACTTTTTTGTGGGGATACAGGGATCTCTTAAGCTCCTTCTAGGGAGGGGAGGTGTCCAGTAAGTCTCCAAGCAGGAGAGTAGAGTATCTCCTATTTACTCTCCCCAGATTGGCTTCCTTCTTTCTATTCCTCGCCTGCCTTTCATGGTAGAGGCCAGTGACTTTGAGATTAATGGACTGGACTTCATGGTAAGACCCTCAACCTCTGTAAGGTGAGTGATGAGGAAAATGAGTCAGCAGCTGAGAGAGGGCCTTACCCTACAGCAGCACTGCCCAATATGGGATCTCTCCTCTGTAGTTTTATTCTGAGCTTTACCAGCACTGAGACAAAGGAAAGAGAAGTCAGGGTTAGGGGCTAGAGGTGGGGTTAGAAAGATGGGGAAGGAGAGGAGGACCAAGAGATGCAAAGCCCACAGCTTTGAACCACTGTACCCCTGTACCCAGTTTCTCTCAGAGGAGAAGCTGCACTATCGTAGCGCCCGAACCAAGGAGCTGGATGCATTGCTGGGGGACCTGCACTGTGAGATCCGGGGTGAGGAGAAGCCAGAGGTTATATGCATTGTAAGATGTTTTTAAAAAAAGCAGCCAGGGGAAGGAGGGGAGTGGGCAACTTGGGGATGCTTCCAACAGGCCCCTTCTCTTCCTGTTCTCTGTCTCACTCACTCTGACTCTTATCTTTTCCTCTGAATGTCTTGAGGTCTCAGATTGTATCTGCAACCTGTTTCCAGATCCCTCTAGGGGCCTCTGCCTCTTCTTCACTTTCCCCTGGAGCTGACCTCTAGCTCCCTCCCTCACCCACTCCCAGACCAGGAGACGCTGCTGATGTACCAGCTGCAGTGCCAGGTGCTGGCACGAGCAGCTGTCTTAACCCAAGTATTGGACCTTGCCTCCCGACTGGACGTCTTGCTGGCTCTTGCCAGTGCTGCCCGGGACTATGGCTACTCAAGGCCGCGTTACTCCCCTCAGGTCCTTGGGGTACGAATCCAGAATGGCAGGTAAGAATAGAGGTGGGTGGAGGAATAGACATGAGGGGCCCAAAGGCTACATCTTCTGGGGGTTCATCCATCTTGATCCACAAGCCATGTGAGGTGCCTCTCCACCCACTGCAGACATCCTCTGATGGAACTCTGTGCCCGAACTTTTGTGCCCAACTCCACAGAATGTGGTGGGGACAAAGGAAGGGTCAAAGTCATCACTGGACCCAACTCATCAGGGAAGAGCATATACCTCAAACAGGTGAGGAGAAGCCCTGCAGCCTGGGCCTCTGGCACCTCCTGCATCTACTCCACCCCTGCTTGCCAACCAACCCAGTCTCCTGCAGCTCTTCTCCCGTTTTCTGACCCCGCTCTTCATGAAAGGACCATCACCTACATCCCTGTGCTTCCTTCCACCTCACATGTTCTCATTCTCCACTGGAGAGCCATGCTCTAATGGAACTTTCCATGGCTCAAATTCCTTCACCCGTCTCCGAGTAGGTACACACCACTCCCAAGTATGTCTCTGCCCACGTCCCTTGCCTCTTTACTGATTCTAAATTAGCCAACGGGGCTATGATTGGGACTGGGGGAGGAGAGACAGAGTCAGTGTATCTGTTTCTCCTGTTTCACCCTGTCCATCTCTCTTTGATCTGTCATTCATGCCTTGAGCCTCACTTTCACCTCAGCCCACAGCACTAAGCCTCAGGCCCTGTCTCCTTCCCTATTCAGGTAGGCTTGATCACATTCATGGCCCTGGTAGGCAGCTTTGTGCCAGCAGAGGAGGCTGAAATTGGGGCAGTAGATGCCATCTTCACACGAATTCATAGCTGTGAATCCATCTCACTTGGCCTCTCCACCTTCATGATCGACCTCAACCAGGTCAAAGGGAACAAAGGGAGGTGGGATTGAGGAAGGGGATAATGGGAAAGAAACCCCTGAAAATGCACATAACAGGAAGGCATGCCCTCTGCTGCATACCCTTTATACTAAAAGTGGGGAACACTAAGGTCAGAGATAGGAAGAATCAATACCACAAATATTTCTTGAACCCTTGCTTCATGTGAGTCACTGCTGGCAAAGAGGATGAACAAAGCATGCACCTCAGCATTCAAGAACTTGCAGTGCAGTAGGGAGGGCGCGTATATAGCTTTATTCACAGGCCAACTGTGGTCACTGCGTTACGGGCTTCCAATACTAACTTTCCCTTGTCCACCTTACACCCTGCAGGTGGCAAAAGCAGTGAACAATGCCACTGCACAGTCACTGGTCCTCATTGATGAATTTGGAAAGGGAACCAACACGGTGAGGGGAGAAACTGATGAGGAGAGAAACTAAGGAGGGGAAAATGGAGGAGGATGAAGGAGCATGACAGTGAGGCTGGGCCTCTGGAATGGAATAGGGCTGTGTGGGCAGAAAAGAAATAGAACATGAGACAGGGAAAGGCCAGTGCAAGTACAAAGGGGCACATGGGGGTCCCCATGGCTCCGAACCCTAACCTCTGCCCTCCTTGCAGGTGGATGGGCTCGCGCTTCTGGCCGCTGTGCTCCGACACTGGCTGGCACGTGGACCCACATGCCCCCACATCTTTGTGGCCACCAACTTTCTGAGCCTTGTCCAGTTACAGCTGCTGCCACAAGGGCCCCTGGTGCAGTATTTGGTGAGGAGACCAATCTAGCTCCTCGGAGGCCCCCAGGCTGGGCATTTCCCAGAGGTGGGGATTGGCTCCTGTATCAGAACAAAGCCTCCCTCAGCACAGAGACCACATCCCTTCCCTTTTCTCCCTCCCCACAGGATTGGCCAAGGGTTTCAGAACAGGAAGGAGGTGATTGATGATATATTTACTGTCTTTTATTCTCTTTTAAGACCATGGAGACCTGTGAGGATGGCAACGACCTTGTCTTCTTCTATCAGGTTTGCGAAGGTGTTGCAAAGGCCAGCCATGCTTCCCACACAGCTGCCCAGGCTGGGCTTCCTGACAAGCTTGTGGCTCGTGGCAAGGAGGTGATGAGATCCAAATGTGCAACCGCGTCCACATAAGAGCTCCCTTCCATTCCTAGTCCTATTGGGCCTGGGTCTAGGTCCACAGGATTTCTGACCCTTATTTTCCCTTCTCTTCCCCAACTCGCCGTACTCCTCCCACCATCTTGCTTGTCGTTCCTAGGTCTCAGACTTGATCCGCAGTGGAAAACCCATCAAGCCTGTCAAGGATTTGCTAAAGAAGAACCAAATGGAAAAGTGAGTGTGTGGCCCCAGTGTCTTTGCCCTCTCTGCATCTTCTCCTGCAACGCTTCTCCCCTTTTCAGGGACTCAGCCTTCCTCCAGCACTTTGCCCTTCAGAAACCCACCATTTATTTCTGAAATCCCTAAATCTTCAAGATCCCAGGTTTCCTGTGCCACAGCCTCTCCCCTCTGCCCAGGGACTTGGTTGTCCATTCTGCCATAAATCTTGCTATTTTCTCTCTTCTTCAGTTGCCAGACATTAGTGGATAAGTTTATGAAACTGGATTTGGAAGATCCTAACCTGGACTTGAACATTTTCATGAGCCAGGAAGTGCTGTCTGCTGCCACCAGCATCCTCTGAGAGTCCTTCCTGTGTCCTCCCCAGCCTCCTGAGACCCCAGTGGGCTGCCATGCCCTCTTTGTTTCCTTATCGCCTTCAGACCCAGAGTTTTTAGTTTCTCTAGAAATTTTGTTTCATATTAGGAATAAAGTTTATTTTGAAGAAAGATACTGTTTCTTTAGGCCAGCCAGAACGAGAGACTAGGAAAGATCCGAAACACAGAGCAAGAGTCCACAGGGGAACCTGCCCTGCCTCAATAAAAATACAGTGTCCTTGCTGTAGGAAGACTCTCAGATTCTACCCAAGGATCGTTCATGAGAACGAACCACTTCAGAGAGGCCCTACAAAACAGATTAGAGGGAAGACAGAGGGGCCCAAGGGAGATGGTCTCTCTTCTCAAGTAGGAACACGCCAGCCTCAGACAGACACAGCAGGAAGGGGCCTGAGAGGCTGACAGAGGCAGGATGGGTGCAAGGCAGGGGTGGAAGGGAGGGACCAGCCCGGGCTGCACCAGTGGGAGTGGCTCCACCCTTCCCACTTCAGAGCCATGGGGAGCCAGGGTTCTGGCGGGATGCCCTTGGTGCAGGTTCCCTACACAGTCCTGCTGCTGCCGCTGGGAACAAGCCGCCAAGACCCGGGGGCCCGGAGCTTCTTCCTTTGGGTGAGTATCGGTACAACAAGAGGTCCCAGGGGAAGTCTCTCCATAGACCTGCCCTTTATGTTTCCATTCAATTTGAGGGCCCACAGTGTTCCCACCTGCCTCCCCTTGCCCTCCAGGTCCTCAGTGGCCAGTCTGGGTTCACACTCAGTGACCACACAGTGAACCCAACCAGGGGTGGAGAGAAAGGGCCATAACCCAGAGCCCTGCTGTGGCACAAGAGTCAGCCTCTGTGCTTGCCTTTCCCAGCTGCGGAGGATGCAGGCTCTGGAGAGAGAACAGGATGCCCTGTGGCAGGGGCTGGAGCTGCTACAACATGGCCAGGCCTGGTTTGAAGACCGTCTGAAGGAGGCACAGCAACAGCAGCTGCATCTAGGGGCCCTTGGTGAGGTATGGGGGCTGCCCCTCTGTGTGAATGGGGGAGGGCCAGGGAGGGAGGAACAAGGAATGTGTAGACACAGCCTGAGACCACTCTGGAGAGGGGAGAGTTAATGGTCAGGGATCATGAATGGGAGGCAGCATCGTAATGACAGGATGCCACCAAGTGTTAAGTTGGTGTTCATTGTTGGGGCTGGAGGAAGCTGGTCTGCATTCCATTCAGAGGGATTTGGATCACTCCATGGAGATGAGGGCGTGGCCGGATTATTCCAATGGGGCAGGGATGGACAGGGAGGCTCTATGAAGAGTAGGGAAAGGGGGTGTTGTGCTATTTGAGGGGATGGAGGAACTGACCTGCTAAAGAGATGGAAGTGAAGAGTATTGGATTTTCCCACCTGCCTGGGAGGGTACTGGGATGAGGGAATCCGGATGAGAGGGATGGCCTGTGGTGACCGGAATAGAGTGGCAGATGGACCTCAGGTTTTCACCATGTTGTCAGCCTCCAACTCCTCCTCTAGAATTTTCTAACAGATTTACACTCAGAGCCTGGTGGCCCCCCGTTAGCCCAGATTCAAAAGGTGAACATCTGTTTGCAGAATCTGATTCATGAGAAGGTGAGTTTATTGTTTCAGTTTAGACTTTTGGGAAGCTGGACTAGTGAGGGGAGTTGTTGGGGTCAGTGCTGGCTTAACAGAAAACACAGTGAATTTCCCCTCCAGTTCTCCCCAAGTCCACTGAACAAGGCTAGTTCCTGCACCACCCAGGATTCAAAGGAAAGACGAAGGAAGCAGAACTTGTGGCGGCAACAGGTAAACTTCAAGAGAGAGGGCAGGAGCCCCACCCTACAGGGCTGGGAGGAGCCCAGAGGCCCCATCTGTTTCTCCTCTCCTCCAGGAGTTGTCAAGGCAGCAGAAAGGAGTCACCCAGCCAAAGGAGGAGATGGCTCAACGGGGCTGCACCAACGGGCCAAGAGGCCCTACCCGTGTCTAAACCCTCCTCTCACTCCCCTAAGCCTGGTGAAACAGTCAGAAGCCCCAGGCTCCTTTTTCTGTTTCTTAACTCAACAGCTAAAAAATGGCTCCAGGTAGTGAGTCAATGAAGTTCAGACATCTTGGTGTAATGTTTCTCCTCTGCTCCTGAAAACTTCACCTTCTTGGTGTCTCACGTCCTCATTCTCCCCTATATGACGTGCAAAAATGATCTTTGAAATCCCTCTGGGGAGAAGACATGTTTATTGAAACTGTCCTTCAGCCTTAAATACAAAAATAAAACCAAAGCTGCTCCAGAAAGCAACTTTCTCCAAAAATGTCTTTGGTTTGTTTCTCATAGGGTTAGGAAAAGTGCATTGTGGGAAAATCCATTGCCCTCTATCCCAGTCTTACAGGGTTTTTTGTTTTGTTTTGTTTTGTTTTGTTTCTGTGATACGTCTTACTGTCGCTCAGGCTGTAGTGCAGTGGTGCGACCACAGCTCACTGCAGCCTAAACCTCCTGGGCTCAAGTGATCCTCCTGCCTCAGCCTCGCAGAGTGCTGGGATTACAGGCATGAGCCACCGCGCCCAGCCCCAGTCTTGAAGTTTTTAAGAAAGGAAAGGGATGTGCTGGAGAAAGAAAGCCTTCATTGGCAGGGCGCGGTGGCTCACGCCTGTAATCCCAGCACTTTGGGAGGCCGAGGCAGTTGGATCACCTGAGGTCAGGAGTTCGAGACCAGCCTTGCCAACATAGTGAAACCCTGTCTCTACTAAAAATACAAAAAATTAGCCGGGCATGGTGGTGGGCACCTGTGATCCCAGCTACTTGGGAGGCTGAGTCAGGAGAACTGCTTGAACCTGGGAGGCGGAGGTTGCAGTGAGCCAAGATGGCGCCACTGCACTCCAGCCTGGGCAACAAGAGCAAAACTCCGTTTCAAAAAAAAGAAAAAGAAAATCTTCATCCCAGCTAGGAGAGGCAAGGTCCTAAGGCCTATGTGACAAATGTGTCCCGGGTCTTCTTACCAATGCGGCAGGTTGAAAATAGTGCTGGAGACCCATCCCTCTAGAGTCTGTTGTGTCACCAGGAGGCCAGGCCTCGCAGAAGCAGCAACCCTCCAACTGTGCCCCACCAGGGGCTGCCCACCAACCCTGCCCCAGCCCTGCCTTGAGTCACCAATGTGAAGGGGGAAAAGGCAGGGGTGGCGGTGGTGAGGGTTGGGTCAGATGAGCCGGTAGGGGTGGCCAGCTGGTCCTGCGGGGAAGAGGAAGAGAATGACAGGGTGTGCCAGAGTGTACTCAAATTAAACCTACACCACCCTCCCCCTGCCTTGCCTACCCTGTGATGGAAAGTAGCGGTGCCTCACCTGCGGGGCTGGGGCCAATACCAGGAGCCGGAGGAAAGCATGAGTCGGGGGCACTGAGCTGTCTTCTCGTCCCGCTGCAGTCACAGTCACCATCACCACGGAATCCGGGGCCGCTGAGTCTGGGACCTCCAGCCACAGGCGGCCCCAGACCGACTCATTCAGTTCCAGGTGAGCCCTGGAGAGACGATATAGGCGTCGCTAAAGCCCCTGGCTGTCCAGAGCCCAGAGTCAGGGGACGCCCGCAGGGGCACGTGAGGTGAGAGGAGGATTCTGAGAGCCAATCGGAAGGGGCCAGGGGCGGGGCTTGGGATAAGCACGGGCCAGACAAGATGCCAGAGGGAGCTGGAGGGTTCAGGGGCCTCACCTGGAGAGGTTGGAGGTGAGGGAGAAGCTGGGGTTGACGGAAGTCCTAAGGTCAAGATTCTGAGGGCCCGAGAAGCTGGCGATGCGCAGACTGAGCGGGACCTTGCTGCCCGGGGCCAAGAAACCCGAGGGCGCACTAAGCTGCAGAGAAGGGCTCGTCAGGGAAGGGGCCGCTCCAACTCTTTCCAGCCCCAGCCGCACTTTTCCCCTAGTGTCTCACCTCCAGAAGGACAGGGACTACAGTGCTAGGCTGAGGGGCAGCCCTGTGCAGGCGCCGCCCCGCTCCGTCCTGGCCAATCAGCTCCAGGGAGAAGGGTCTAGGGGTGGACAGCAGCGTGGGCGGCAGCGAGGCTGCGAGGAGACCTCGCTCCGGAGGTCCTACGGGCTCCAAAGGCACCCGGCCTAGTTCGGCACCGTCTGGGACCCCTCGAAGGATGACGTGGGAGAAATGCAGCTGAGGATCCCCAGGATTCGCTTGGGAACCCAACCCTGTCACTTCTACCAGCAGCTGGGTCTGGAGACCTGGGACAGGGGCGAGGAGGGGAGAACATTGTGAGATTCGGAGACACAGGGAGAAAAGACTTAATGGCCTTCAAAATAAGGGTTCCCTCTGGGGAGTATGGATGGAAAAATAGGTTACCTTCAAGGGGTATCGATGGGGAGTATCAGGAGGGAGTTCTGGGGTGCTGGAAATGTCCTATATCCTGAACTGGGCGTATTATATGAAATCCATCAAACTGTACACTTTAGTGCACATTATGTAAATTATAACTCAATATAAAAGTTATGCATATGCATAGATGTATGTATACATATATACGTTATATATATACACACACACATATATATACACACACACACATATATATATAAAAAACTGGGGGTTTGGCCCGGCGCGGTGGCTCACGCCTGTAATCCCAGCGCTTTGGGAGGCCAAGGTCGGCGGATCACGAAGTCAAGAGATGGAGACCATCCTGGCTAACACAGCGAAACCCCATCTCTACCAAAAATACAAAACATTAGCCGGGTGTGGTGGCGGGTGCCTGTAGTCCCAGCTACTCGGGAGGCTGAGGCAGGAGAATGGCATGAACCTGGGAGGTGGAGCTTGCAGTGAGCCAAGATCGCACCACTGCACTCCAGCCTGGGTAGCGAGCGGAAAAAAATAAATAAATAAATAACTGGGGGTTAGGTGGGTGGGGGCTCAGGGAATAGATGTACCTGCAACTGGCTGAGTCAGGGGATAGAGGCCAGGGTGGGGTCCATCCTCCATGGGGATCCCAAAGTGGAAGAGGAAGTCCAGGGAGGTCTGGGCTGGGAAAGGGCAAAGGCAGTCAGAGCCCTTCCTGAAAGGAATGTGACTGATCGTGTTCGAGGCCTACAGTCTCTCCTTTCCTTTCCCAGGAACACTTCCCTCCTTACCTTGCACTCTCACCCCAGGGGTGTCCTCAGCTGTGACCTGGATCTCCCAGGTTCCTGTCTGTGGAGGGTCATGCATGGTCACCATCCAGAACTGCCCAAAGCGGTGAGTGTGACCTAGAGGACCCGTGCCTTCCTTCTGGTCCTGGGAGACCCCTGGGGCCAGGGAAGAAATGAAACACTGGCTCTCCTTGAGTACATCCCCTCGACTGTCTATTCCCCAGTCGCCATTCTTCCCTCTGCCTTCAGACGTACCTGCAGGGTTCTTGATCCAGAAGCTGCTGACGTCCCCGTGGATCCGGACTGTGATCTTCTGGAGCAGCCCATCCACGCTGAACACAAGTGGCCGCCCAGGCACCACAAAAGGAGGGTCCAGGGGAAGAGTCACCTTGAGGGATCAGCAGGACCAGAAAATGGGGGAGAAGATGAGGTATGGGATGAGGAACAAAGAAGATAGGGGAGATAGGAAGAAACCATGTCATTGGGCCGGGTGCGGTGGCTCACGCCTGTAATCCCAGCACTTTGGGAGGCTGAGGCAGGCGAATCACAAGGTCAGGAGTTCAAGACCAGCCTGGCTAACATAGTGAAACTACGTCTCTACTAAAAAATACAAAAAAAAAAAAAAATTAGCCAGGTGTGGTGGTGGGTGCCTATAATCTCAGCTACTTGGGAGGCTGGGGCAGGAGAATTGCTTGAACCCGGGAGGCGGAGGTTGCAGTGAGCCAAGATCACACCATTGCACTCCAGCCCGGGTGACAGTGCAAGACTCTGTCTTAAAAAAAAAAGAAAAAGAAAAAAACCACGTCACACAGAGAGAAAGGGGTACAGTGAGAGAGGGGCACAGGGCCAGGGATGAAGTTATTATGGTCAGGGACAAAGTTGGAGGCAAGGGATTCAGGATGAGACAATCACATCTTGTGCCCCATTAAAAGATGATGGGCCAGGCATAGTGGCTCATGTCTGTAATCCCAGCACCTGGGAGACCAAGACAGGAGGATCACTTGAGGCCAGGGGTTCAAGACCAGCCTAGTCAATAAAGCGAGACTCTGTCTCTGCAAAATACAAGCCACCTCCCCAGAAAGATGGTAGGACTTCCTGTGGTAACGCTGAAGGCAGAATACTGGAAGCCAAGCGGGGAGGGGTTTACTGATATAAAAGGACAATACAGGCCAGGCGCGGTGCCTCAAGCCTATAACCCCAGCACTGTGGGAGGCCAAGGTGGGCGGATCACTTGAGGTCAGGAGTTCGAGACCAGCCTGGCCAAAAAACTGGTGAAACCCTGGCTTTACTTAAAAAATACAAAAATTAGCCGGGCCTGGTGGTGGGTGCCTTAACTCCAGGTACTTGGGAGGCTGAGGCAGGAGAATCCGTTGAACCTGGGAGGCAGAGCTTGCAGTGAGCCAAGATCGCGCCACTGTACTCCAGCCTAGGTGACAGTGAGACTCCATCTCAAAAAAAAAGAAATGGCTAGCCATGGATCTCAGAGGGGGAGAAACTTCCTTTCCTGCCCCGTGACTGGAAGAACAACACAGCAGTGAGAGTGATTCCCCTTTCTCCTATAAGAAGAGAGGTGCAGCCTGACCACCCTTCAGTTCCTAAGTGAGGGCCCTGGCCCCCACTTGCTCACCAGGGCAGCCATGCTGTCCCCAACAATGGCTGCCACGTCTCCAATGTGCTGGTCTTTGGTGAAGATCACTTCTCCTCCTGAGGCCAGGGCCACTGCTTTGTATGGCTCAAAACGCAGAGGGGACAAGATCTCACGCCGAGCTCGGCCCTGAACCCTTGATGTGTCTTCAGTCACCAGGAATGTTACCTGTGGCCAGAAGAGAGCTCGGTGGTTGGGGTATCCAAGTGCCATCCACTATTATGAAGGAGAATCCCTGTACTCAAGCTTTCTCCAGAGCTGATGGTTCGTGATAAGGTCTCTGCCTGCCTTCTGGCTGCTAGGATGGGGTCTCCCAATGACAAACCCCTGCCTTCAGTTAGTAGTTGGCCACCCCCTTGTCACAGTGGATTTTTGGTGACTAGATCCCCAGTTCTTCGCATTGTTTACTGGGCAGGTTCAAATAAAAATTCTGCATTATTAAGGGTGGGGTCTCCTACGTGTATCATTAAAGGTATCAGGAAAGGTTTCATTCATTGTCTGCTTCTCCCATGTGCCAAGGCTTGTCGGGCCACCATAGTGTGGTGCAACCCTCGTGATGAGATTGTCATCACAGGGTCGCTCACATCCCTGGGAGGCTAACACTGGGTCTCTCACCAGCTCTGCTCACCCGGCAGCGCCGTTCCTGAGTCAGGGATTCCACCTGGTTGGTGAGAAAGGCATCCTTGGGGGACGCATCCGTGAAGACAAAGATGTCTGAGAGTGGAGGTGTGTGCAGCAGGGCCAGCTGGCAGGGAAGACAACGACCAGTGTTAACAATGGCAGCAGGAGGGGAATGGGTAGACCAAGGAGGATGAAGCAGAAGGGAATATGGCCCGGTAATCCTGGAGTGAAGCTAGTGGATCTAGGTTCTGAAGGTAGCGGGGAGCCCCAGGAGGGATCTAGCTCCCCCTGGTGGCGGGGCCAGGAAACGCGGTGGGGATAAGAAGGGAAGAGGAGAGGGGCCAGACCTGCAGGGCTGACAGGCACATCTCAGGCTCGTCTCCACCCCCCAAGGCGTGGATCTCATTAAGCTGTTGCCAGAAGCTGTCAGGGTCACTGGTTGTAAAGACAGGGCCAAACCCTGGGAAGGGGAAAGGAGGTTAAGATAAGTGAGGAAAGAGCTCCCCTCATTCCTACCCAGAGCCACTTCCCCAGTTGAGGGTCCCTATGTGCTTCTGTGGAGTGGACAAGTAGTGCAATAACAATACTCCATTATAAGACTCATACTTGGCCAGGCGCAGTGGCTCACACCTGTAATCCTAGCACTTCGGGAAGCCAAGGCAGGTGGATCATGAGGTCAAGAGATCAAGACCATCCTGGCCAAAATGGTGAAACCCTGTCTCTACTAAAAAATACAAAAGTTAGCTGGGTGTGGTGGCACGTGCCCCAGCTACTGGGGAGGCTGAGGCAGGAGAATCACTTGAACCCAGGAGGTGGAGGTTGCAGTGAGCCAAGATCGTGCCACTGCACTCCAGTCTGGCGACAGAGTGAGACTTCGTCTCAAAAAAAAAAAAAAAAAAAAAGAGTCACACTTGTCAGGGCGGGGCGGGGCAGGGCAGGGCAGACCTAGGTGTCCCTGGTGAGAAGGTGGGCCTCCACTCCCTTAAAAAAATGGTGGCATTTCCTGTAGGCCTTTATTGGGTACATGTACATATATTAAAAAAAAAAAAAAAACCTGGTCACGCCTATAATCCCAGCACTTTGAGAGGCTGAAGTGGGAGGATCACTTGAGCCCAGGAGCTCAAAATCAGCCTGGGTAACATAGTGAGACCCCATCTCTACCAAAAAAACACAAAAATTAGCCAGATATGGTGGTGGTTGTCTGTAGTCCCAGCTACTCATGAGGCTGAGGCAGGAGGATCACTTGAATCAAGGCTGCAGTGAGCCACGATCGTATCATTGCACTCCAGCCTGGGTGACAGAGTGAGACAAAAAAAAAAAAGGAAAAAACACTGGGTTTCCTCATAAGAAAAGAGACAGAATAGCACTTACCTCAGAGGCTTATTGGGAGGACTAAATGAGTTGATTTTGCAAATTTTAAGATAGTGCTTTGACACATAAGTGCTAAGTTCTTAACTATACCTTTTTTTATATCTTCATCAAACACAATAATTCTCTATTATAAATAAATGCCGGCCACTGTAGGATGTATGCAGACAAATAAGACTCAAACTTAGGCAACTCTCAGCCCAGTAGGCATTTTATTTGATCATCATTTCAACTCTGGGAGTTAGGCAGGATGAGGGAGGTGTCAGGCCTCTGAGCCCAAGCTAAGCCATCATATCCCCTGTGACCTGCACTTATACATCCAGGTAGCCTGAAGCAACTGAAGATCCACAAAAGAAGTGAAAATAGCCTTAACTGATGTCATTCCACCATTGTGATTTGTTCCTGCCCCACCCTAACCGATACATAACTGATACTGACCCACTTTATGGATGATGAAATCCAGGCAAAGAAAGTTTACATGACCAGCCTAAAGACACACAGTCAGACTCAAGCCAGAGAGTCTAACTTCCAATCAATGGGAAAGGAATACAATGTAGCTAGCTATTTCAGATGCTTCCCAGAAGCCTGGCCCCACCAACCCCATCTTCATCCCCATCTCTGTCCATAGGAAATGGAGAGAATTGAAAACGGCGGCCGGGCGCGGTGGCTCATGCCTGTAATCCCAGCACTTTGGGAGGCCAAAGCAGGCAGATTACGAGGTCAGGAGATTGAGACCATCCTGGCTAACACAGTGAAACATCGTCTGTACTGAAAATACAAAAATTAGCCAGACGAGGTGGCGGGCGCCTGTAGTCCCAGCTACTCGGGAGGCTGAGGCAGGAGAATGGCGGGAACCCGGGAGGCGGAGCTTGTAGTGAGCCCAGATCTTGCACTGCACTCCAGCCTGGGCGACAGAGCAAGACTCCATCTCAAAAAAAAGAAAAAAAAGAAAATGGCTTATTAGCATGAAAGGCTAAGAAAGCAGAGGCCACGTGCCAAAGTATGAATTATGCATTAAACTAATGGAAAGTGCTGTCATTTTAGAAACAGCGGAAGACAAGGCTGCTAGTTATCTTTTTTTTTTTTTTTTAGAGACAGGGCCTCACTGCGTCACCCAGGCCACCCTGGAGTGCAGTAGTGCCATCACGGCTCACTGCAGCCTCAATCTCCTGGGCTCAAGTGATCCTCCTGCCTCCGCTTCCCAAGTAGCTGGGACTATAGGCATGCGCCACCACTCCCACACATAATTTTTATTAATTTTTTTGTGGAGACCTGAATCTTTCTGTGTCGCCCAGGTTGGTCTTGAACTTCTGGGTTCAAACGATCTTCCCACCTCTGCCTCCCAAAGTGCTGGGATTACAGTTGTGAGCCACCCCACCCAGGTTGCTGCTAATTTTCTGTATGCACACCATAGAGGCTTACTCAGGACTACAGGAAGTGCCACCACGAGCCCACTTCCTCACCACAGGCCTTTATCCCTCACCTTTTTTTCTTTTCTTTCTTTTTTTTTTTTTTTCTGAGACGGAGTTTTTTGCTCTTGTTGCCCAGGCTGGAGTGCAAAGTTGCGATCTCAGTTCACCGCAACCTCCGCCTCCCGGGTTCAAGCGATTCTCCTGCCTCAGCCTCCCGAGTAGCTGGGATTACAGGCATGCACCACTACGCCCGGCTAATTTTGTATTTTTAGTAGAGACGGGGTTTCTCCATGTTGGTCAGGCTGGTCTCAAACTCCCAACCTCAGGTGATCCACCTGCCTCAGCCTCCCAAAGTGCTGGGATTACAGGCGTGAGCCGCCGCGCCCGGTCTATCCCTTACCTTGAATTTTCCTCCCCTCTACTGTCCTAGCCAGACCACACTTACCTGGGTCATGAAAAGGCACCAGGACATAGTGGATAGGCTCCATGGGGCTGCCCCTCCGCTGCTCCACAATGTGGCGAGCCTGGATTTTGGCAGCGTTGATCTCCTCACCCATGCTGCCCGTGGTGTCCAGGACAAAGCTCAGGCTGGAGGCCGGGGTGATGTCCAGCAGCCTGGGGAGCAAGCCAGAGACACAGTGAAGGGTCTGCACGTTTGTCTCCAGTGTCTGGTTTCTCAGTCCCCACAGGAATGCCTACCTATGAGGCGGTCCATCCCCAGAAGGCCACTCACCTGGAGAAATCCCTGTCTCCTAGGCGGCTTCGCAGAAGGCCGAAGGCCTGGATGGAGGCTAGAAGGGCCAGTTTTGCAGCCCGGAGGTGCAGCATGTGGTGAGGGGAGAAGCCTGGGGATGTGCTGTCCTTGTTGATGCCTCCCCTTGGTGGCTGGGAGCTGCTCAGGTCAAAATGGCCCCCGTGGCTACATTTCCCTGGGTTGGGGAAAGGGATCTGGAGAGTGGAGGTCAAAAACCCACTGCCTCCTAAGAAAATGAGGCCCTTTCAGACCTGGCCTGACCCTCTCACCCCTCAGCAAGGGTTCAGCAAGAAATGATGATGGGGGTGGGCGCAGTGGCTCACGCCTGGAATCCTAGCACTTTGGGAGGCTGAGGCAGGCAGATCATCTGAGATCAGGAGCTCGAGACCAGCCTGGCCAACATGGTGAAACTCTGTCTCTACTAAGACTATAAAAATTAGACAAGTGTGGTGGCGCATGCTTGTAATCCCAGCTACTTAGGAGACTGAGGAAGGAGAATAGCTTGATCCCAAGAGGCGGAGGTTGCAGTGAACCGAACCGAGATCGTGCCACTGCACTCCAGCCTGGGCGGCAGAGCGAGACTCAGTCTCAAATAAATAAATAAATAAATAAATGATGACTGGGCAAGGTGGCTCACACCAGTAATCCCAGCACTTTGGGAGGCCAAGGCGGGCGGATCACCTGAAGTCAGGAGTTTGAGACCAGCCTGGCCAACATGATGAAACCCCGTCTCTACTAAAAATACAAAATTAGCCAGGCGTGGTGACACATGCCTGTAATCCCAGCTACTCGGGAGGCTGAGGCAGGAGAATCACTTCAACCCGGGAGGCGGAGGTTGCAGTGAGCCGAGATCGCGCCACTGCACTCCAGCCTGGGCAACAAGAGCAAAACTCTGTCTCAAAAAAAAAAAAATAAAGGATGATGCTTTGTGGAGGGAAATTCTGGAGTAAATCTTAGCGCGCCGTAGTCAATCAGCACAGCACATGGTGGATCCCCTGATCCCTCCAGCCAGTCCCCCAAAGCTGCCTATGACAAGGGAGAAATCCTATCAGTGGAGGAAGAAGTTGCTCCCCTACCTCAACCCCACCACAGCCTCCTCAGGGGACTTTCCTCCACCCACCCTGTTCCCAGCATCCTCTCCTCCTAGGAGGAGGTGCCCTAGCAAAGGCATACGGGCCTACAGGACAGAGATCCTGTAAGGGAGTGACTTTCTCCCCTTACTTCTGGGGAACTTTCTTGTCTGGTACCTGGAGGTTTCGGGGGATGAGTTCCAAAGTAGCCAGAGGTGAGGAGTGTGAAGCCCAGCCAATTCCCAGGGCAGCTCAACGCCTCGCAATCGGAGCAGGTAGGATCAGTCACTGGGAAGAGAGGGCAGGGCTAGAACCCAAGATTCTGCCACCCCCAGCCTTTATCCCCACACACCCAAACCTCTTCAGCTTTTCCTCCCAGCTGGGATGAAGTGAAAGCCCAGAAGTTCCCTAGCAAGGCTTTCTGAACTAAAACCTAGGATCATGGGCCCGCAGTGAGCCTGAATGTTTGAAACTGGGGCCGTGCTAGAAAATACAGCACAGGCTGGGCACGGTGGCTCACGCCTGTAATCCCAGCACTTTAGAAGGCAGAGGCGGGCTGATTGCTTGAGTCTAGGAGTTTGAGACCAGCCTGTGCCACATAGTGAGACCTCATTTCTAAAAAATAAATACACAAATAAATAATAAGAAAAAAAACCAAACAGTACGTGTAGGGACCAATCCTATGGGGACTGCGCCCTCTGTGAGTTGTGGACAGGAGGCAGCTTCCAGGCGAGAGGATGAGGCAGCTGTGGGAGAAAGCCCCGTGTGAGTCAGTGCGGGGAGGAAGCCACACTTAAGACGGGACTGAGTTCTGGAGACCTGGTCCTAGCTGTTTTTCCCTGTGTGACGTTGGGGAAGCTGCTTAACCGAGCCAGGCATTGCTTGGACTGGGGGACTTCAGTCCTTGTGGAGATTAAGTAACATCACACCCTCTGGGACCTCAGAATGTGACACAGTGGCTGGGTGGACTGAGGTAGCCCTGTGGACTCCCGCCTCACCGCCAGGGTCACAGCCGTACCTTGTGCCAGGTTCTGGAGCTCCTGTCTTGGCCAGAGGAGGTGAGGGTGTGGCTGCTGCTCACCCAGCTCCACCCAGTTGCTATGACTGTAGAAATCCTGGTCCAGAGGACAGGAGAAGGGGAATGAGGCACTAGTCTGACCTTTCTCACCATCCCCAGCACTAATATGCTACTCCTTTGAGTTCCCCACCTGGAAAGTCCCCTCCTACTCCCACTACTCCCACCAGACACCCCAAGTCCCCTCCACTGCCCCCTCTCCATGCTCAGAGCAGAGCTTTGCCCGAGTGGAAACTGTCCCAGCATCTCTTCCCAGCTCAGAGTCTAACCCAAGGCCTCTCTGGGCCTGCAGGGTCCTGCAGCATGTGCTGCTCCCTCAGCTCTCTGACCTCACAGTGTTCCACTCTCACCCTCACTTCCCTCCAGCCACAGTGCCCTCCTTGCTGTTCCTACAGGAAGCACTGCCAGCTTGGAGGTGGGGAACTGGGACACAACCTCGGGGCACCACGTGCCAGTGCCCACCCCTTCCAGAGTGGAGAAGGCATGATCAAGAAGGCACCATAGGATGCTCTCTATCCCGGACATGAAGACCCCTCTGACCATCAACCCAACCCTGTTCTCACCTGCAGGGCATGAAGTGCAGCCCCGAGGCGCTGGCGAGCCAGGGTGTGGTCAAGGGCTCTGGTTGCCACCAGGGTCTCCCGCAGAGCCCCTACCAGTTGCGCGCGTCCCTGATCCAGTCGCTCAGCATCAAAGTGCAGGTCGGGGTCATTCCTGGAAGTCGGCAGGAAGTCCTGGGCCGCATTGGCACGAGACACCTCACCTAAGGCTGCTCGGAACCGCCGAGAAGGAGAACCAGGTCCAAAGTAGGCGGCAAAGAGGTCATCGGCAAGGAGTGTTCGACCCTGGGGAGAATAGCGGAGGACGGGGCTCCAGGGAGGCCCCTTGGATTGACTTTTGCCCACCTTATCTCAGCAACTGACACTCAAGGCTGGGTATGAGGGTCCTGAGCCCCACAAAGGAGGGGGACTCCTAATTTCAGGACCAAGACTACTGGGGATTGTTGCTGCAGGGATGGGGCCATGGGTGTCTCTTCTCTTGGCAACCAGAGCCCTCACGGAATAGAGGCCCCAGGAACTGGGGACTCTGGCAGGGGTGTGACAGGACCCTGGGATGCTCACCAGGAAGTCCTCAAGACGAAGAGGGGGGCGGCCTGGGGGTGGCCGCTCCAGGAAGAGCTGCAGGGTGACGTTGAGTGCTGCCTCCTCAGTTAGGTCTTGGTGGGTGATGGAGCCAGGGGCAGCCAGCAGGCTCCAGATGTTGGGGAAGAAGGCAGATGTGGGGGGCAGCAGCAGCTGCAGCAGAAGCAACACTGAGGGGCCCGGGTGGGACTGGGGCACTTCTGTGGGGAGCATGGCTGAGACATGGACCTGGGAGACAGAAGGCTCTCAAGGGAGGAGGAAGCAGCTGCGATTCCAGGGCAGGCCGGCTCTGCGGGTCTCCATGGGCACCTGCTTTACCTCAAAAGTCGCGTCTGCTGCAGCCTGGCTTCCCCGCCCTCTCTGTCACCCAGACAACCTGAGGGCCTCATCTAACCATTAGGGACATACACAGCTGCCAGGAGAGGGGTCCAGGGTTCCTCCCCCAGGCCCCCCTCCCCAGTCCCTGGCTGAGTTCCCAGCCCTGCTGCAGAAACACTCCCCATGCACAGGAAGCCTGAGTCCTCTCAGGCCCTCCCCTACCTGGTTGCTGGGTCTCCTAGGAAGGGCTGGCCCGGGCACGACGTCACAGGGCACTTAGGTCAGAGTTATAATTAACCGAGGCCCAGTAGAGGGGGAGGAAGGCCCCCACAGGGTGGGGGAGGACAGGCAACCCCCCTGGCCCCTTTGCTCATGCCTGCCCAAGGCCACAGGCAGCAGCCCATGGCAGGGCGGGCCTCCCTTGGCCGCAGTGCGGAGGTGAATGAAAGCTGGGGAGGAGGAAGGGAGTGAGCAGCGTGACTCAGGCCTGGCACAGTGCCAGGGACAGACCCAGACAGACCTGCCCCTCTGCCCTCCAGAACCAGGGCCTCACTCTCACCCTGCAACCCCCAGGGATTCAGGCACCCAGCCCCTCTGCTCCCCTCTCTGCCCCCACCACAGATGACAAGAGGATTTTGTGGGAAAATATTTTATTGCTGCCATCCCCATGGTGAGCTGCTGGGGGTGAGCGGGGAAGCTAGGTGGTGGATCACAGCATCTTCTGGAATAGGGTGATGGCCTCATCCACCTTCCTGAGCTCTGCTTCCGTCTGTTGGAGCTGGAGTGGAACCAGGGGATGGGTGAGGACCCACGTCCAAGCGAAGAGACCCCCAGATACCCAGGACAACAAAGTTGGAAAGATGAGCGAGGACCATGGAAGGTCAGTAGCTCGGAGGAGGCATGAACCTGGCTGGCCTGGCTCCCCACCCATTTCCGCCAGCACCCCCACCCCCACCTCCACCAGCACCTCTTGGGTCTTGCCTTTTTCCACAGAGTGGTCAGTCCCCAAGAACAAAGGAACCTCAGAGCCTACATGCTCCCCACACAGTGTCCCCACGTAAGCAGGAGAGCACAGGGTCCCAGGCCAATCACTTCATTTGTCAGATGACGATAATATTACCCCTCCCAGGGCTCTTGGGAGAACCAGGTGAGATGAACCAGGTCCACTCAAGGCTCTCTAGCTCTTGGCCTCCGTGACTGATTTTCTCCATGTCTGTGCAGCTTACTCTACTACTCCTCTCTGGCGGAACCCAGGAGGCAGGGGACAAACGAGACTGGCCTTCCAGGGTCAGCTCGGTAGGCTTGAAAGTGGTGGGAGGTCCAGGGCTCCCGACTACACGTGGACCCCAAGCCTAGCCTCAGGCATGCGGGTTTCCATATTTCAGGCAGCTGGGTGGGGTATGAAGGGTCTGATTGGGAGATAGGATGCCTGCTTCTAGGTCAGCCTCCATCTCCGACCTGTTGTGTGACCCTGGACTGTGCCCAGCCCCCAGCTGCTCCCCATGTGTAAGGGAAGGGCATTCTATGGTCCCTGCTCCAAGCGCCTGGGCTCCATGCTTCCCAATGGATTCCCCAGGTTTGGGTACAGAGTCCAGCTTCCAGACCAGGAAGTTTTGGTTTGGATTTTGGGTTTTGTTTTGGATTTTTTTTTTTTTTTTTTTTTTTGACAGAGAGGGTCTTCTCTCTCTCTGTTGTCCAGGCTGGAGTGCAGTGGCATGATCTCGGCTCACTGCAGCCTTGACCTCCCAGGCTCAAGCAATCCGCCCACCTCAGCCCCCCGAGTAGCTGGGACCCCAGGTGTGTGCCACTGTGGCCAGCTAATTTTTCTATATTTGTTGTAGAGATGGGATCTCACCATGTTGGCTGCTCTCAAACCCCTGGGCTCAAGTGATCCACCTACCTCGGCCTCCCAAAGTTCTGGGATTACAGGTGTGAGGCACTGAACCAGGCTGTTTTGTTTTGTAAGGTTAGTGGGAATGGAGAAGGAACAAAGAAATCTGTAGCTGGTTACGATCAATTAGTTGTCAACACCACTGTACTCGGACCAGCCCAGACCAGGGTTTTGACGGAGGAAGTGGATGGTGTGGGAAATGCCCACTCACGCCACACACCTTGGCTTCATCTGCCTCCTGGACTTCGAGGGGCACCTTGACAGGGTAGCCTGAGGCGGCACGGCGTTCCCGCAGACGCTGGGCCTGCCGCTGTGCCTCAACTCGCTTGGCTTGCAGCTTGCCCAGCTCCCGCGCAGGGTCCACCAGCCCCTGCAGCTGCAGGTGGATGGAGCAGCGATCAGAGGCCAGAGCCACAGCGCAACCCTGCGGGGCGGGAGCCCCCAGGGCCAGAACAGCCACCACACCTGCGCTGGACAGCGCCTGCACGTAGCCCGACACAGCCGATGCCAGGGCGCCCGTGGCCTCATCCGCCACTTCCAGGAAGCCTGCCAGAGAGGGAGAAAGGTGAGGCCTAGCTCCATGGAGACAGGAAACCAAGCAGTCACTGCTGGACACTGGGTCGCAGAGTGAGCTGAGGGGACAGTGGGATGGGGTGGACATGGGGGCCTGAGGCTCACAGTCAGGCCGGATCCGGGTGAGGTTGTAGTCAGCCCGCAGGGAGCGCACAGCTCGCGTGATGCTTAGCGCCAGCTCAAGGGCAGCTTCTGCCTCAGGGTCCTTCCAGGAGCACTGTGGGGTGGAGGAGGGGGTGAGGGGGCCTGGAGCGCAGGTCAGACTCCCCTCTCCAGGCCATGCCATACCTCTGAGGGCTCTGGGTAGGGGGTGACACAGAGGCTAGGGGGAGCTTGCGGCATCCTCCGGGGCAGCCTCTGGAACAGCTCCTCCGTCACGAAGGGCATGAAGGGCGAGAGCAGCCGCAGGCCAACGTCCAGGCAGGTGTACAGGGTCTGGCGGGCACACTCGGCTGCCACCTGGTCTACCCCATGCAGTACAGGTTTCAGGCACTCCTAGGGGACGAGAGGTACAGGGCTCACGGCTGGAGGTCTAGCCTTGAGCCCTCACTGTGCATGTGAGGACTGGGAAGGGGATGGGTTGGCTTAGGTCTCAAGGCCAACTCTGGCAAAACTGAGCCCAGGGCTTTGCTGCCCGCCCGCCCCCACCATCCCCTGCCCCGCTCTGCTCCTTCTCACCAAGTAGACATCACAGAGCTCATAGAGCCAGAAGCTGTACTGGGCAGTGGTGGCGGCCGGGAAGTCGTAGGCCTGGAAGCCTTGATTGCTGAGCCTCACAGCCTCTGTCAGGCGGCTGCGGATCCAGCGGTCCACCAGGCTTTCATGGCCTCCGGGCTTGGGGAGAGAGGGTGTATCAGCCAGCGGGCCAGGGGAGGGTGACAGAACCCCAGGGGGGCAGGAGTCATGGGCAAATCTTCACCCAGAGTCTGATGAGTCCAAAGCAACCACCTATGTGCCAGGATCTGGGAAGAAGTGACAGGCCCCAGCCCCCAGTGCCCTGGGCTTTCCCTTTAACTGTCCGTCTCTGTGTCTATCTGTCCCCCGGCAACATGGAGGCCACTCTGGACAGGGGTGCAGCCTGTGTGGGCCCTGCTCAGTGATTCCTGTGCCCAGCCTTTGCTGCCCACCAGGCCCTTACCTGGGAGGTAGGTGAGGGCACAAAACCCTTCCCAAGGCCACGAAGGGCAAACTTGGTGGCATTCCAGAGCTTGTTGCAGAAGTGGCGGTAACCCAGTATCCGGTTCACATCCAGGTTGATGTCACGACCTGGGTCGGGGGTAAGACGTGAGTCCTCATCATCCTCTTCCCAGCCCATGCCCACCAGAGGCTCAGGGTGGAGAAGAGGGATGGGCCTCACAGAAGGAGGGAGTGGCTGGGAGGGCAGCTTTGGGGGCCATACCCTGGGACGTGTAGGCACATAATCCAAACCGGAGAGCATCGGTGCCACACTCGGGAATCCCCGCTGGGAAGTCAGCTTTCTACAGGGAAGAGGCAGAGGCATGAGTGTCCTCAGCCAGCCCCATCCACGCTGTGCTCCTGCTCAGCCCAGCCCAACCCTCCACACCTGCCCTTCTTTGGCCTTCTCCACCTCGCTGGGATCCAGGTTGCTGTTCAGTAGCTGGTCGTGGAGGCCCTGAGGGTGGAGTGGGAGCAGTCAGGTGGCTGTGGCCACAGCCCCACGGCCCTTCCTGGCTGGCCCAGCACCCAGCCCACCTGCAGGGAGACTCCATAGATGACGTCCAGGGGATCGATGACATTGCCTAGAGACTTGCTCATCTTCCGGCCGTGAGCATCTCGCACGATGGCATGGAGGTAGACCTGAAGAGCAGGTGGGCAGGCCCGTGAGACTCAGTCCTCTCCTTCCCCGGCCTCAGTGCCCCGACCAGGACTGTGTCTGGTCTACCCCACTGTGAACCTCACGTCCCACTGAGTGTCCCCAAGAGTTCGTTCAGTGCCTTTATGTGAATCAGAAGCACTCCCTCCTCTGGGAAGACGACGCCCTGGGCACAGGAATCACTGAGCAGGGCCCAGGCTGGATTTCAACCCCCTACCAGCCCCTGGGTCAGGCCTGCCTACAGCTAACTCCATGCCCCAGCCACGCGGGGCCTGTGCTGCAGAACAGGACAGCAGGAGAGGAGGCTGGGGGTGATGGGAGGGTCTCGGCTGTCTCCGCACCTCTCTAAAGGGCAGCTTGCCCGTGAGCTTCAGGCCCAGCATGACCATCCGGGCCACCCAGAAGAAGAGGATGTCGTGACCGGTCTCCAGCAGTGTCCCAGGGTAGAACACACTCAGGTCTTCTGACTGAGGGCAGACCAGGGTGTGAAGAGGAGCCAACACCCACCCTCCAGTCCCCTGTCCCGCCAAGCCCTGGCCCCAGGAACACACCTGGTTGGGCCAGCCAAAAATGGATAAGGGGAAGAGGCCGGAGGAGAACCAGGTATCCAATACATCCTCATCTGAGAGAGGCCAAAGGTCAGAGGTCAGAGGGAATGGAGCTCTGCCCCCAACAACTCCCTCCAAACCCTCAAAGCCCCTCCTTGCCTTGCTGGAGACTGATCTTGTCAGGGGACACTCTGAACTCCTTGGCTGCCTTCTCCCGGGCCTCCGCCTCGTTGCGTCCACTCACCCAGTACCGCCCGTCAGGGTCCTGCCGCAGGTGCAGTGATTACTCAAGGGGGTGTGTCTGCTTCTGGCTCATCCTGCCCCTCCCCCCACCAAGGACCCAATAAACACACTGCTCTCCCAGGGTGTCCCAGCAGCTAGCTCTGGCCGTCTGCTCACCTCCCCAGGGGGCACCGCTGGGTCACTGACAGTGACAAAGTAGGCTGGGATGCGATGGCCCCACCACAGCTGCCTGGAAATGCACCACTCCCTGCAAATGTCGGGGAGGGGAAATCAGGGAGGGCCTGGTGGAGCCTGGCCCGAGCTCTGCTCAGCCCTTGGCAAGCCCCTCCCACACTGAGGGCCCTACACACCGGATGTTGTCCATCCAGGCATGCCATGTGCGCTGATGGGCCTCAGGCAGGATGCGGAGGTCGCCCCGAGTCACAGCGGCGCTGGCAGCCTGGGCCATCTCCC